GCGGCGGGGGGAACGCCTCCGCCGCCGCCCGCCATCGGGACGATGCCCCGATGCCGGGCGGCGGGGGGGGGACGCCTCCGCAGCCGCCCGCCATCGGGACGATGCCCCGATGCCGGGCGGCGGGGGGGAACGCCTCCGCCGCCGCCCGCCATCGGGACGATGCCCCGATGCCGGGCGGCGGGGGGGGGGGAACGCCTCCGCAGCCGCCCGCCATCGGGACGATGCCCCGATGGCCGGGCGGCGGGGGGGGACGCCTCCGCCGCCGCCCGCCATCGGGACGATGCCCGATCCCGGGCGGCGGGGGGGGACGCCTCCGCCGCCGCTAGCCATCGGGACGATGCCCCGATCCCGGGCGGCGGGGCGGGAAGCCTGGGGCGCGCTGATCTCGGCGCGCCCAGGCTTCGGCATGCTGGCACCTGTCCGCAAGCAGCAGCAGTGCTGCCGCTGCTTGCGGAGAGGTCCGCGAAGCCTGGGGCCGGTCAGCTTTTGAAGGCAGGCAGGGGGAGCAAAGACTTTCGCCCCCGCCAGCCTTCAGAAGAGGTCCAGGACCTCTTCTGAAGGCCAGCGGGGGGCAAAAGTCTTTGCTCCCCCCTGCCTGCCTTCCCGGGAGAGCGGAGAAACGCGCCGCGTTTCTCCGCTGTCCCGGAGGGCTTTTGAAGGCAGGGGGGGGGGAGCAAAGACTTTCGCCCCCCGCCAGCCTTCAGAAGAGGTCCAGGACCTCTTCTGAAGGCTGGCGGGGGTGAAAGTCTTTGTCCCCCCTGCCTGCCTTCCCAGGGGCTTTTAAATCGCCCCGGACAGCGGAGAAGTCCTCCGCTGTCCCGGGCGATTTTAAAATGCCGCCCGTCAGCATTTTAAGATCGCCCCGGACAGCGGAGACGTCCTCCGCTGTCCCGGGATTTTATAAAATGCTGGGGGTGGGAAGAAAAGCCCTTTTCCCCCCCCAGCCTTCAGAAGAGGTCGGGGGACAGACTGTCCCCGGACCTGGTCTGAAGGCGGTTTCCCTAGGAACGCATTAATTGATTTTCAATGCATTCCTATGGGAAACCGTGCATCGCAAGACGAAAAACTCGCAAGACGAAGAGACTTGCGGAACGAATTAATTTCGTCTTGCGAGGCACCACTGTAATTATAAAATACTATCTTTGTGTTTATTTGATTCCTATTAAAGAGAGTTACTTTATATATAGTCAATATAGGCACAGAGTTAATTTTTTAAACATTTTCTAATGGTGGTGTGCCTCGAGATTTTTTTCATGAAACAAGTGTGCCTTTGCCCAAAAAAGGTTGGGAAACACTGCTCTAGAGGCAACCAGAATTTGACAGCTGAAGCAAGTACTTCAGCTTGGTGGCATGGTCAGCTCTGATCCTTTATTGCTATTTCATGTATTTCATTGGATTCCCAACTCTAGTCTCTCCTGATTCTCCATTCCAGTTTTGAGGTTGGCCCTTTCATTACTATCCAAACGGCTCAAGAAACAGATGTACCTTCTGAACAAGCAAAGGGCCATATTTTATGTCCCTTATATTCCTTTGGTGCCCCATCTGCCCCCATTCTATTGGCATGATTGATCTCGAGAGGAAGAAAACACTCCTGGCTAATATGTTCCCTATCTCTTTTCATTGCAGGCTGGAGCAGAGAAACAAGAGGCAAGAGGAAGGGTAAGACACTCTCAAGAGTCACCTCCCTTACTTTCAGGCCCATCAATATGGATTTGAGATGGAGTGGAGATTCACACACACGTCCATATGCATTTCTCCAAGAAACTACTTGGATAAATTAATGGAATATACACACTTCCTTTGCATGCAGTTTCCCCCCAATATGCCTTTGTGTACATTAGTTGCTCTAATATGCACATGTGTGTGTGTTCATTTCATTTGCACTTTTTACAAAGCAAACAAGCAAATTCCTCGGTAGAAGAATTGCATCGCATAATTCAGAGAAGTGCGGATTTTGAAGGGTAGCTGTTTATTGCTTGTTTATTGTTCCGTGAAATATGAATTAGATAGGTTTGAATGAAAATGTGAACCAAATGAATTTCTCCCTCTCCCTTCCACAACGGAGACCCTTAAATGAGACAAGGTGCAGCCTGGCTATTGCAGGTAGGGATAGAGGAGGTGAGAAATCTGATTCCTTTCTCATTTGAAAGCCAGCCTCCCCAGCTCACACTTTCCGAAGCAAGGCGCAAACCAAAACACAGCCATCCCCCAAAATGTGGACGTCACATTTTTCAATGCAGTTAGCCAGCATGCATGGTGGAAGTGTGCCTAAGAATGCATCTACTACTGAAAGCAGCATACAAAATTGGAGAAATTTGGTTTCCAAAAATGCGAACTGGGGAAATTGCATATGAAAACAATGTATATTAGGAAAAATTAGCTGCAAATTGCTGGTGGTGCATTTTCATGAGCACTTTCAATAGTAGTAGTTGCAAACCGATGTGGACATATGGAAAATTGAACTTCCTATGCAAAAAATGAGGAACTGAAATGGACAGAGTTGCCCATGCCAAATTGCAGATCATGTTGGCTTGCAGAAGAGAACAGGAAAGGAGAAAGCACGCTGAGCAGCCTCACTTTTCCTAGTTCAAGCATGGGAAAACCTTTTCAGTCCTAGGCAACTTTCCAGGGGCCACATGCAGTGGTGCACAGTGCCAGAGATAAAGGTGGGCAGAGCAACCAATGTTAATTTCACCTTTGTGTAGGAAGCTGGTTTCTGCGTGCATCTACTCCTCCCTGTCCTTCATCAAGGCATACAAAATGCATCACCAGTGTTAAAGGACACATGGCAGCCAGGCAAAAAAATTGGGTGCAGATTAGAGGGGTGTGGCCTGGGGAGAATTTGGAAGGACAGATAGAGAGGTGGGGGGGCAGTGGTGGAGCTTAATGCTCCGGCACCGGGGGCGGAGCGCAGGCGCATGCACCCCGGGGGTTTCTGAACAAGCAAAGGGCCGTATTTTCTATCCCTTATATTCCTTTGGTGTCCCATCTGCCCCCATTCTATTGGCATGATTGGTCTCGAGAGGAAGAAAACACTCCTGGCTAATATGTTCCCTATCTCTTTTCATTGCAGGCTGGAGCAAACAAGAATAAAAAGGCAGGAGGAAGGGTAAGACACTCTCAAGAGTCACCTCCCTTACTTTCAGGCCCATCGTAATGGATTTGAGATGGAGTGGAGATTCATACACACGTCCATATGCTTTTCTCCAAGAAACTACTTGGAGAAATTAATGGAATATACACACTTCCTTTGCATGCAGTTTCCCCCCAATATGCCTTTGTGTACATTAGTTGCTCTAATATGCAGATGTGTGTGTGTTCATTTCATTTGCACTTTTTACAAAGCAAACAAGCACATTCCTTGGTAGAAGAATTGCATCGCATAATTCAGAGAAGTGCGGATTTTGAAGGGTAGCTGTTTATTGCTTGTTTATTGTTCCGTGAAATATCCTTATACTCCTCCATGTCCTTCATCCAGGCATACAAAATGTGTCACCAGAGTTAAAGGACATGTGGCAGCCAGGCAAAAAAATTTGAGGTGCAAATTAGAGGCAGTGAGGGGTGTGGTCTGGGGAGAATTTGGAAGGACAGAGAGATAGGTGGGGGGGGAGTGGCAGAGCTTCATGCTCTGGCACTGGGGGTGGAAAGCAGGCTTGGGCAGGGCTGGCGTGCGTCCTGGAGGCGTGGTGCGCCACCTGCAGGGGTGTGGCGTGCCGTCTGTGGGGGCATGGTGCCCAGCATGGGGGGGGCATGGCCGCTCCCCTGCCCCCCTCTTCCTCTTCCAGTGGGGGGGGGCACATTTGGCCTCCAGGCCTGAGGTTCAGCACCTTCCTTACTTGTCAGGACCAAAGCCAATGTTTCCATTCTTCTTGCAAGCCTGGAAATAATTATGGCTTATTTTCTTCTTTTTAGGGTGCCGGTGGCAATAGACAACAAGGGAGAAGGGTGAGTACATATCATGGGGAATAGCATCAGTTCTTCCAGAAGTGCTCCAGGGAACCTGCTTAGGCCTTTTCACATGTTTTGTGCAGGATTGCCGTGAGCAATGCCAGGGAGCAAAGCTTGTGCCATTGGCCCCGCCCCAACGCCACACCTTTCCACTGGCCCCGCTCCTTTGGTGCATAGAGCTGCTCAGATGTAGCTGATCTATGTGGCTGGGACCCCTATGTCTATTCTGGGGCATATTCTTTCGGTTGTTTGAATTTCTGACTTTGCATTGCAGAAGTGGAAAAAGCCACAGCAGCAGTAAAGTCGTGTGAGTATCAAATATACCTATAATGGCATTGCCTCTTCCTTTCTCCTTGTGATGTATCATAGAATTCAAAGGGGACCCAAGGGCCACCAATCCGATGCCCTGCAAATCAGGAAGTACAGTTAAATAAGCCCAGGTGGATGGCCCTCCAACCTCTGTTTAAAAACTTCCAGTGAAAATTTGCTCAGTAAGAATTGGGCAACTACCGTATTTTTCGCCCTATAGGGCGCACTGGCCCATAGGGCACACCTAGTTTTTTTGGGGGGGAATAAAGAAATTTTTTTTACCCCCACCCCAAAACTAGGTGCGCCCTATGGGCCAGTGCGCCCTATAGGGCGAAAAATACGGTAGTATAGGGCTCCCAAGGCTTGCGGATAGCTTCCTGAAGCCTGGAGAGCGAGAGGGGTCGGTGCGCACCGACCCCTCTCGCTCTCCAAGCTTCAGCAAAAGCCTGCATTCGCCCCATAGGACGCACACACATTTCCCCTTCATTTTTGGAGGGGGGAAAGTGCGTCCTATAGGGCGAAAAATACGGTAATTAGGTTTGTTCTTTTAAAACTGCTGATTTTGATACATTTCATGCCTACTCATTTATCATTTTTAAATTTATTTTGTGGCCAAGGTTTTAAAAACTAACATTGCACTCCTATGCATATCTACTCAGGAGTAAGCTCCATTGAGTGGAACATAGGAAGCTACCTTATACTGACTCAGGTCATTGTTCTATGTAGTTCTCAGTATCATTTGAGAAGGCAGAGGGCCTTCTCAGCAGTGGCACCTTCCCTGTGGGACACCCTCCCATCAGTTGTCGAGGAGATAAAGAACTACACAACTTTTAGGAGACATGCGAAGGCAGTCCTGTATCAGGAAGTTTTTTTTTATTTTTGACATTTTATTATGTTTTTATATCTTGATGGAAGATGACCAGAATGGCTGGGGGAACTCAGCCAGATGGGCGAGGTATTATTATTATTATTATTATTATTATTATTATTATTATTATTATTGTTATTTACCAACTGACAGCAGCTTTCCAGGATTTCTGATGGGGTTATCTCCCAGCTGGGAACTTTTGCATTCAAGGCATGTGTTCTACCACTGAGCTGTGGCCCTCCTGCATTGACAGCCCTGAAGAGTCTAGAGTAGAGATGCAGTGCTGCTTCTGTGCATTCATTTGCCTGTAAGATGCCAACTGAAGGGCCCCAAAAGCTCTCTCTTGGAGGATGAGATTTGACCTCATGACTTGTTCACTCCAGGTCATAGCTGCCAACTAGTGGGGGGACTTGGCTGTGGGTTCCGACAGCGCAGGTTCAGACGTAACTTCCGGTTTCTACTGAAAGTCACACTGGAAGCCCAACGTGATCTCCAAGGCAACGTTGGAGGCCCTGCCAGGCTTCTGACACAACTTCCGGTACAAACTAAAGTCACATTGGAGGCCTTGGACATGATCGCCAAGGCCCCGCGAGGCCTCAGAAGCACCTCTGTAGCTTGTTGATTAATGTGATGTTGTGACATCATGACTTCACAATGTCATGTTACGTCATGGATGCCATTGGGCACCCATAACCTAGGGCCCAAGTTGGCGCCCTTGCTCCAGGTCTATGTTTTTTGCAGTCATTTTCTTTTATGACTTCTTCCCCTCTCTTCTTTTTCCAGGATGCCGGAAATAGCCCAGAGCAAGAGCTAACAGATCAGAAACCGAAGGAGCTAATTGGGACACCAGCTGGCACACCTTTCTCCTTTCATCTAGAAAGACAAGAAACCTACATACATGTCTGCAAAATTAACAGAGTCCATTCCATCAAGGAAAACAGAACATTCGACCTAAACAAATCTTGGTTTAGGGGTGATTTTACTTTGGTGTCTTTAATTAACTATTCCGTTGTCCTTTGGCCCTGGAAAATATTTCATTCAAATAAAACTGAAACCCCAATTGCACAGACATGGTTCTTAATTTGTTTTATTGAGGAGTAGACGATGCTGACATGAGCCTTGATTGTACTCCTAAATCTCGATGTTCATGAAGGTTGTCTTATTCTCTCTGCTACAGCTGTACCATTGCTAGAAAAGATAGCTGCTCACTCCTCTTCTGCTGAGCTGTACAGCCACCAGTAGGCAGCAGGCAGTAATGTACTTACCATTTCTTCTCTTTTCACTTTTAATTTGTATACAGTACCACCTTTTTATATTATTATGCCCAAGGCGGTTTACAGCAACAAAATAAACAACGAAGAACATGCACCTTTAAATAATCTGATCCGATACAGAAAGTCATAATAAAATATAACTTTAAAATGGAATGATTTATATCAAAGAAAGTAATATCCAGTAATATCTATTAGAATATAATAGTACACAATAAAAGTAATATCTATTAGAATATAATTGTACACAATAAAATTAACTCTCAAAACATCAGCAAATAATAATTAAGAATAAATTCACTCTTAACCATTACAATAAATAATTAATAAACCATGATCAATAAAAGCGACTGCAAGTCACAAAGGATAAAACACCACAATACGTACAAAACCATGTACAAGGATCAAATTGAGGCACAAAAATACAAAACTTACAGAATTATTAGAAAAATTATAACATTACCGGCACAGACAGTGTCAGGAGACACAAGTGACCAAAAGAGTTGTCTTGGCACGCCTGCTGAGTGCAAGCAAATTATTGGCTCTGGATCCATTCCAGTCCGGCTTCCGCGCTGGTCATGGGACCGAGACGGCTCTGGTCGCCCTAACAGATGATCTCTGCGGGTTGGGGCTGCTGATTCTTTCAGACCTGTCAGCAGCCTTCGACATGGTTGATCACGAACTCCTGGACCATCGCCTTGCCGACGTGGGGATCCAGTCCTTCAATGGCTGCGCTCGTTTCTCTCTGGTTGGGGACAGAGGGTGGCGCTTGGGGGGGAATTGTCATCGCGCCACTCCTTGGCGTGTGGAGTGCCTCAGGGTGCGATACTCTCCCCGATGCTTTTTAACATCTTTATGCACCCCCTCGCCCAGCTTGTCCAGAGTTTTGGGCTGGGTTGCCATCAGTATGCTGATGACACCCAACTCTATCTGTTGATGGATGGCCATCCTGACTCGGCCCCAGACGCACTGATCAGATGCTTGGAAGCTGTGGCTGGATGGTTACATGAGAGCCGGTTGAAGTTAAATCCTTCGAAGACAGAGGTCCTCTGGCTGGGACAGGACGATATGGGATTGAGGGGGCAACTCCCATCTCTTGCGGGGGTGCAATTAGTGCCAGCACCGTCCGTTAAGAGTTTGGGTGTAATCTTCGATACCTCCCTCTCTATGGAGGCGTGGATTACAGCTATAACAAAGGCGGCATTTTTTCATCTCCGCCAAGCTAAGCAGTTGGCTCCTTATCTCTCTCGCCCTGACCTAGCCACTGTGATCCACGTGACGGTCACCTCCAGACTGGATTATTGTAACTCGCTCTATGTGGGGCTGCCATTGAGACTGACCCAGAAACTCCAGTGGGTGCAGAATGCCGTGGCGAGACTCCTTATGGGGTCTTCACTGCGAGATCACATTCATCCAGTACTATACCAGCTGCACTGGCTCCCGGTGGAGTACAGGATCAGGTTTAAGGTGCTGGTTTTAACCTTTAAAGCCCTATACGGCCTAGGACCCTCGTACCTACGGGACCGCCTCTCCTGGTATGTCCCACAGAGGAACCTACGGTCTGCAAATAAAAACATCCTGAAGGTCCCAGGCCACAGAGAGGTTAGGCTGGCCTCAACTAGAGCCAGGGCTTTCTCGGCTGCAGCTCCAATCTGGTGGAACGCTCTGTCACAAGAGACTAGGGCCCTGTGGGACCTGACATCTTTCCGCAGGGCCTGCAAGACAGAGCTGTTCCACCAGGCCTTTGGTTGGGGCGCAGCCTGACTCCCTCCTCTGGCAATCTGCACAGAGTTTTGCTTAACGGTTGCCATCAATTTGATTTTAATTAATTTTTATAATGAAATGTTTTTAGAATGTTGGATTTTTTTATTGTTCTTAGCCGCCCTGAGCCCGGCTTCGGCTGGGGAGGGCGGGATATAAATAAAATTTATTATTATTATTATTATTATTATTATTATTAGGTAAATCTGTCAATTATGGTTTCTTTCTATCCCCCCCCATTTCTGCATCAGTTTTCCTTTTTTCTTTTTAAGTTCTCATGAAAATCCACCAGTATCTGAGTGCACATTTCTCCTAAAATACACATCTCTGTATGCAATGTTGCTTAATATATACATTCTTTACATAGTAATTTCCCACAATCTAATGCATTTTGGCATGGTTTCTTCTTCTAATATCTGCAGTCTAATGCACACTTTGCCCACATTATATGCATTTCTGTACACACCGCTTGGCTGAAAAGCTGCGTTGCAAAATTCTGAGAGGTGTGGATTTCAAAGGACGTCTTGTTTCAGAAAATGTGAATTAAGTAGGTTCCTGCACAAAAGTTAGGCTTGAAAGAAACATTCCATTGTAGCTAATATAATAGGTGGTGTGGGAGGGTGCTCACAACAGTTTCTCTAGTTTTCAAATGTGCCCCAAGAGATTGGTGAACCGTAGTCTAGACCACCAGTCCTGATACTTCATATTTATTTTATTTCATTAAAATTGTATGCTTCTCGATATATGAAAACCCCCTCAAAGTAGTTCATTGTCATGAATCGGCTGGAAGCCCCAGGGGTAAATTGTTCAGAGCCAGGGGTCTGTGTGGTCAGAAGAACAACAGGAAGCAGACTGCAAAGAGGATGTGTTGGAAGCTGAAGAGGTAAAAGGGTTTAGTGAGCAAGAAGAGTCCATGGTAGAGAGCAGTTCAGAATCAGAGCTAGAAGCAGAGGCTGGAGAAGAGGGGGCCAAGTGGCAGAGATGACATGGCTGCTGAATAAGCCAGGGTGTCTTCCCCTCCTGCTGTGACTTCCTGCTCTCTCCCAGAACTAGAAGAGGTATGGAGAAGGCCAAGCAAAGGCAGGCCCTGCAACCGAGATGCAGATTGCTTGTGGAGGACCTGAATGACAAGCTTGGTGGATCAGGGGGATGCTGTGGAAGTAGTGTATCTTGATTTCAGTAAGGCTTTTAACAAATCCCCTATGATATTCTTGCAGAGAAGCTGGTAAAATGTGGGCTTGACGAGGTAACCGTTAGGTGAATTTGTAATTTGATTGACCTGGGGAAAAAGTGACAAGTGAGGTGCTGCAGGGTTCAGTCCTGGGCTCATTGTTGTTCAACATCTTTCTAAATTGAAGAGATGCAATAAATTTGCAGATGCTACTGACCTTGCACCAGGAGTGACGAAAACGTAGTGCCTAGCTTAGACTAGTCATTAAAACAAAACAAAACAAAAACAATTTTAGCGTATTTGAGATTTATTTATTTTTTAAAGTTTTTGCCAGTCATCAGGGTATTAATTAGGGCAGTTCATATTGTCTGTACAAAGACAAGAAAATCAGTTCATGTTATAGCGATTATCCTGATTGTATTAGCATTGGTTTTGTGATTCAGTTTTTGTCTGATTGGCTTAGGGCAGGCAGTGTAGGAAAAGTGTACAAGAGAGTAGGGAGCCTTTGTCAATGTGGCAGAGATCTTCAGTGTATCTTCAGATCTTCAGAGATCTTCAGTATTAAGGCGCCTGGAAATAAGAACATAAATAATTAGTCACATAAACATCCCCAATGAGGTAAGGCTGCATAAGGGCTAGGGAACCCTGATCATTGGCTATGATGGGTGGAGCTGATAGAAGTTGGAGTTTAACAACGTCTGAAGGGCCATATGTTCTCTGTCCCTGATCTAAAGCTAAAAGCTTTTAAAGGGTAAAGGGTAAAGGGACCCCTGACCATTAGGTCCAGTCGTGGCCAACTCTGGGGTTGCAGCGCTCATCTCGCTTTATTGGCCAAGGGAGCCAGCATACAGCTTCCTGGTCATGTGGCCAGCATGACCAAGCCGCTTCTGGCGTACCAGAGCAGCGCATGGAAACTCCGTTTACCTTCCCGCCGGAGCGGTACCTATTTATCTACTTGCACTTGACATGCTTTCAAACTGCTAGGTTGGCAGGAGCAGGGACTGAGCAACAGGAGCTCACCCCGTTTGTGGGGATTCGAGCCACCAACCTTCTGATCAGCAAGTCCTAGGCTCTGTGGTTTAACCCACAGCGCCACCCATGTCCCTTAGCACCACCAAATTAACAAAGTACAATCCTATACATCAAGGATAAAGATTCTATGGCCCTGGAGAAGTTGTCAAACTCCAACTTTCATCAGCCTCATGTTACATGGTCAATGGCCAGGAATGAGGGCCACAGGTTCCCCAGCTAAAAATGTACATGAGTTCACTGGGGCTTACTCCTGGGTAGGAATGAATCGGTCTTGGTTTCTCATCTCCTCCCACCTTCCCAATCCTCGAGAAAATTATTCAGCATTTTCATCTTTCCAATCTTAAATTCAGTTCTCCACATTGTATTGGAAATACATAGAAGAATATTGTGATTGTGAAGAGATACATGGCCTCCAACAATTATCTATTTGTTGCCTTATTGGGCGTCTGTGTAGGAACCTGAATCTGCTTGGTTAGCCATTGCAATATTTTGGTCCCTTTTTAGTACATCTTTTAAGGAATTAATTTTATATGGGAATGTTCCATGTCATAAGATGGCATGTAGGCTTTTATGTCAAGGCTACAAAACAGCCTTGGGTCCATGAGACCAGCAGGGCAGAGCTAACCAGTTCTTTTTGGTTAGCTCATTGTTTAGCAGTTTCAGAGCCATGGGAATGAGAATGACTAAGCTGTGATGGAAGTCCTACACTGATACTGGAAAAGGACAGCTTACCAATCCTTTGGTATACCTTGAAATGGTTTGGGATGATGCCATTGGTATT